AGTGACAGGTACCTTAGCAATATGCAAATTAAAATGCTAGATATGGTGAACATAGTGACAGGTACCTTAACAATATGCAAATATAATTGCTAAATATAGTGATTATAGTGACAGGTACCTTAACAATATGCAAATAAAAATGCTAAATATGGTGATTATAGTGACAGTTACCTAAACAATATGCAAATTAAAATGCTAAATATGGTGATTATAATGACAGGTACCTAAACAATATGCAAATTAAAATGCTAAATATGGTGATTACAGTGACAGGTACCTTAGTAATATGCAAATTAAAATGCTAGATATGGTGATCATAGTGACAGGTACCTTAGCAATATGCAAATTAAAATGCTAGATATGGTGATCATAGTGACAGGTACCTTAACAATATGCAAATATAAATGCTAAATATAGTGATTATAGTGACAGGTACCTTAATAATATGCACATTAAAATGCTAAATATGGTGATTATAGTGACAGGTACCTAAACAATATGCAAATTAAAATGCTAAATATGGTGATTATAGTGACAGTTACCTAAACAATATGCAAATTAAAATACTAAATATGGTGATTACAGTGACAGGTACCTTAGCAATATGCAAATTAAAATGCTAAATATGGTGATTATAGTGACAGGTACCTTAACAATATGCAAATATAAATGCTAAATATAGTGATTATAGTGACAGGTACCTTAACAATATGCAAATAAAAATGCTAAATATGGTGATTATGACAGGTACCTTAACAATATGCAAATAAAAATGCTAAATATGGTGATTATAGTGACAGGTACCTTAACAATATGCAAATATAAATGCTAAATATAGTGATTATAGTGACAGGTACCTTAACAATATGCAAATTAACATGCTAAATATGGTGATTATAGTGACAGGTACCTTAACAATATGCAAATATAAATGCTAAATATAGTGATTATAATGACAGGTACCTTAATAATATGCAAATAAAAATGCTAAATATGGTGATTATTGCAGGTACCTTAATAATATGCCAATTAAAATGCTAAATATGGTGATTATAATGACAGGTACCTAAACAATATGCAAATTAAAATGCTAAATATGGTGATTATAGTGACAGGTACCTTAACAATATGCAAATTAAAATGCTAAATATGGTGATTATAGTGACAGGTACCTAAACAATATGCAAATTAAAATGCTAATATGGTGATTATAGTGACAGGTACCTAAACAATATGCAATAAAATGCTAATATGG